TATACATTTGCTATTAATTAAGATTAATAAATAAAATGCTTATCCGGCCTGATGGTCAGACCTGGTCACATCAACCTTAATGTACTCCAGAAATTCTTGACATTTAGCCCGCTGGCCAGGAAATCAACCATATGGTTGGCACGACATGTAAACGCATTTCCAACATTTTGTGCAATGATAAACAATATGTGGAAATAAACAGGATGTTTAAAAGGACACGAGATTCGAATGGATCAACAGTAGAGACTAGAACTATAATTCCACTCATTCCTTGAATGATTCCTAGATTATATAGTGATGAAAATAGTTTGAATTAATTGCACTGCAGATTGATAGTGGATCAACTTAAACTACTCAAAAAATGATAGACAACTGAACCATATGATTTTTTTTCCCTAATGCACTTCTAAAATATTTAAAATAGGTAATTTTTTTCAGAAGAAAGGTTCAAATGCATTCACGCAAAAAGTCGCATATTGATCAGAAAGTCTCCTAATTTTCTACTTATCATCTCTATGTGCATTTAAAACACATTAGATTCCATTTACTCCCCTTTGAAATGAGAAACGGAATCAGCATATCTTCAGTAGGTTTATTGCAAGCAGAGGTCTTTATAACAGAGCCTCTGTCTTAGGCAAAGTGCATATAACATTTGATATTTATAACTTATCCGGTCCACAGTAAGACATACCAGCACAGATGATCGAACACAACTCCATTAAGCATCATTGCAGCTTCCATGATCTGAATTCTTCAGTGATCTATGTGTAAGCATGTATAATAGTGAAGGGTAAATACTTGGCTTGTGCATACTGCATTGCATCAGAAAAGGCCAACGCTTCCAACTGTAAAAGAACATGATGGGAACCTTAAAAACTACATTTTAAAGAATAATTCACTCGACTATGAAAACTCAGTATTTATTTAACTTTTTTTTTTTTTTTTAAACATCCACATGTCATTCCGTTCAACTGAAATGTAAGTTAACTTGCTGTGACTGGATCACTGAGTCAGTGAACTCAACAACCATTTCAGTCTGATCTTTTCACTTTTTTGGCAAATTATTCCTTTAAATCTGTTTGTGTTGAAGTGGCCATCTATAATGTTTTAGTAATGTCCTAAATGTTTTCAAAGTCAGAAAAAAAAGGCCTTTATGGTTTTAAAGGAATAGTTCACCCAAAAATGCAAATTATA